CTGACAGCCCTAGTTATAATGCAATTCATTTCAATGTTTTTTTAGAAAAAAATTAAGAGCTTGTAAGATCTTATAGAATAAAAGAATAAAAGATTCTTGCTGTGACCATCTTTTTAAGTACATCAATTTAAGGGCTTATCAAACCTCTGACCAATGACAAATGCCATATCTATGCTTTTGCTGTTTGTTGCGCTATATGCTCTTTTAAATGACAGAATCCCTTCTACCCAAGTTCACATATGTCCTGCCTCAGAAAAAAACAAAACAATCATTTGTTACCAGATTCAGTACCTGTTCTTTTGACGATGTGACTTTTTCGAGGGAATGGGAACGAAAAGTCTGGACGAAAAGTCTGACCATGACATCTACACACACCTGGAAATGGACAGTGCCGCCTTTTGACTCCATGTGTGTGGCCAACGGTGCCGAGGGGGGAAACTGTAGGGTTGAAAATAATCAAAGATATTTGAAAATGAACAAAGACATTTGCTTTTACTGAAATGAACAAAGACATTTGCTTTTACTGAAATGAACAAAGACATTTGCTGTTACTGTTTCGACCCCCCTCCTTCTTAAACCAAGGACCATTTGTAATTCCTAAAGACATATGGCGCTTTTCCACTGCGTACGGTACGGCTCGCCTCGGTACGGCTCACTTGTGGCGCTTTTCCACTGCATGGAACGGTACGGCTCACTTCGGCTCGCTTTAAATGGTACCCCCTCTGTCGAGGTTCCAAGCGTGCCGTACCGATACTAAAATGTGATGCAAAAACACTGCAGATCACTGATTGGTCAGACAGAATCATCACTATCAGCGTCATTGTATTTGCGAGACATCAAACCCGCTAGATTTAAATAGCCAGTAACAGCCACCGCTGTAGCACCTGTTTTAAAACTACTTGCTTGACTTGCTTGAAGAAAAAAGAAAGAAAGAAAAATTCCAAAAAAGAAATGACTGAATCGTGGTCAGAGGATGAAGTGCAGACGTTCCTCTCGTTGGTTGCTGAGGAGCGGATAAACTATAACGGTCAGACTATAATCCCACCCACTTTGAAGCGGTACTAACTGCAGTGGAAAAGCAAACCGAGCTAAAGCGAACCGAGCCGTGCCGTGCCGTGCCGAACCGTACTGAGCCGTACCAGTAGTGGAAAAGCGCCAATAGAGGTGCTGATATTGCTCAAGGCCTGTAGACCAAGATATGTGGACATTGGGTGTTTTCTAATTGTCACAGTTGCTCTGTCTCTCTATTTTTGATTTTCATCCCTTTCTTGGGTCTCTCTCTCCCTTTTCTTTGTCTCTTAATCTCTACACTTTCTCTCTCTCTCTCTCACTCTCTCCCTCCTTTCTATCTCTCAGGTAACATTTTACATACACTCACCTAAAGGATTATTAGGAACACCTGTTCAATTTCTCATTCATGCAATTATCTAATCAACCAATCACATGGCAGTTGCTTCAATGCATTTAGGGGTGTGGTCCTGGTCAAGACAATCTCCTGAACTCCAAACTGAATGTCAGAATGGGAAAGAAAGGTGATTTAAGCAATTTTAAGCGTGGCATGGTTGTTGGTGCCAGACGGGCCGGTCTGAGTATTTCACAATCTGCTCAGTTACTGGGATTTTCACGCACAACCATTTCTAGGGTTTACAAAGAATGGTGTGAAAAGGGAAAAGCATCCAGTATGCGGCAGTCCTGTGGGCGAAAATGCCTTGTTGATGCTAGATGTCAGAGGAGAATGGGCCGATTGATTCAAGCTGATAGAAGAGCAACTTTGACTGAAATAACCACTCGTTACAACCGAGGTATGCAGCAAAGCATTTGTGAAGCCACAACACGCACAACCTTGAGGCGGATGGGCTACAACAGCAGAAGACCCCACCGGGTACCACTCATCTCCACTACAAATAGGAAAAAGAGGCTACAATTTGCAAGAGCTCACCAAAATTGGACAGTTGAAGACTGGAAAAATGTTGCCTGGTCTGATGAGTCTCTATTTCTGTTGAGACATTCAGATGGTAGAGTCAGAATTTGGCGTAAACAGAATGAGAACATGGATCCATCATGCCTTGTTACCACTGTGCAGGCTGGTGGTGGTGGTGTAATGGTGTAGGGGATGTTTTCTTGGCACACTTTAGGCCCCTTAGTGCCAATTGGGCATCGTTTAAATGCCACGGCCTACCTGAGCATTGTTTCTGACCATGTCCATCCCTTTATGGCCACCATGTACCCATCCTCTGATGGCTACTTTCAGCAGGATAATGCACCATGTCACAAAGCTCGAATCATTTCAAATTGGTTTCTTGAACATGACAATGAGTTCACTGTACTAAAATGGCCCCCACAGTCACCAGATCTCAACCCAATAGAGCATGTCTGTTTGGGCAAGATGGCGCCGATGTGTATGGCACGCCGTCCGCCTCTATCGTCTGTGTATTTTAATGTGTATTTTAACTTATTCATATCTATATGGTTGCTACTCATGTGGGGACAAATTGCATCAACCCTGTTAGTATATGACCGGCAAATACTTTTAAATCTGCGTATATCCACTGAAGCACTACAGGATCAAACACCCCCTCCTTTTCTGTCGGAGATTCCGACGTGGCTACATCGTTTACCACCATACTATGCCTCAGTGAACAGACGTCGGAAGAGACGGGGTAAGCGGGGCGGCGTGGCTGTCAAGCTCAGGATTCTACTGCAGGCAAGCAGGAAGATGAGCATTAGGAACGATCGACTCAGCAAGGAAGGTGATCATAACTGTTCCTACGCTTGGTGCTCAAGCTCTGACATCTATGCTTGGAATATACCTACTCTACTCACCATGGGAGATCTATGGCCCCGATACCGCTCGCTTCATCCTCGTCGTCGTGGCATTTCGACTCATCTGCTTCGACCACTGCGTAGAGCGCCGCGACAGATGGAAGATCCTGTGCAGCTAAGGATGGCCCTGATTAACGCGAGGTCGGTGGTAAATAAGACTTATATTATCAGAGAGTTTTTTACTGAGCGATCGTTAGATTTTTTATTTATCACTGAAACTTGGCTCTCAAATGAAGACTTAACTCCATTCTCGGAACAGCTACCGCCTAAATGTAAATACCGAAACTCACCCCGCTCTGGAAAGAGGAGGGGGGGGGCTTGGCTACAATTTTTAAAGACTGTTTTAAATGCCGGACTATAAAAAGAACTCCCTATAACAGTTTTGAACTTCAGCTGCTTATGTTGGACTCAAACTCTCCTATTCTTGTTGCTGTGGTTTATAGGCCTCCAAAGCCACACAAAGACTTTCTGAGTGAGTTTGCTGAATTTTTAGGAGGTATTATGCCACATTTTGAGAGATTTTTAATTATGGGGGATTTTATTATTCATATATGTTGCCAAAAAAAAACATTTGTCAAAGACTTCATAAATCTAACAGAAGGTTTTGACTTGGTGCAGCTGGTAACAAGACCGACACATATAAAGGGACACACCCTGGATCTTATTCTGTCCCATGGGATACTGCTGAATGCAATTGAGATCTGCGATCGTAGTTTCTCTGATCACAGCCCCATCACATTCAGCATGCCTGTAGCACTCAACACTATAAATCACTGTAAAACTGTTATGAGGGCACGTAGAATCACCGATGCTACCGCTAGTTCGTTTGCTGAAGCTTTTGAGGAGCTTTTTAATTATTCTGAATTCACCTCACCAGAACTAAGCCCAGATGAATTATTTGATAAATTTGATTCTACCTGTAGCACAATTTTAGACGACATAGCACCTCTGAGGATAAAACACCAAAAATCCATCCCTGAGCCCTGGGTTAATAATACTACTCGAACCCTGAGACAGATATGCAGAAGGGCGGAGAGGAAATGGAAAAAAGATAAATTACAGATCTCGTATGAGATGCTAAAAGACTCTCTTTTTAAATATCAAAAAGAGTTGAAAGTGGCCAAAGCAAACTATTTTTCTATTCTCATAGATAAGAACCACAACAATTCTAGAGTTCTTTTTAATATTATTAACACTGTTACAAATCCAGCTGTGTCTATCTATCCAAATGAGTCAGTGGCCATGTGTGAGCGGTTCTGCAAGTTCTTCATAGATAAGATAGCTGGTATTAGAAATAACTTGCAGCTGACCACTGGTAATCCCGCAGGTCAGTTAAAGTATACCGGAATACTCAGTAAGTTTACACCAATCACAATGACTGTTTTAAATGACACGGTGAAGCAGTTAAAACCTACAGGGTCACCGCTAGACACTATCCCTGCACGATTAGTGAAAAAAGTGTTCAATGTAGTAAGTACGACACTTCTACACTTCGTGAATAAATGCCTTGAGCTGGGAGTGGTCCCAGAGCGTTTAAAACATGCTTCTGTGCAACCCATACTAAAGAGGCCAAATCTAGACTCATCAAATCTATCGAATTTTAGACCTATCTCACATCTCCCATTTTTAAGTAAAATTTTAGATAAAATAGTTCTATGTCAGCTTGAAACGTTTTTGAATGAAAACAAAATGTATGATATATTTCAATCTGGCTTCAAAAAAATTCATTCGACAGAAACGGCCCTTGTTAAGGTGCTTAATGACATTTTTTTGGCCACTGACTTGTTGGAGTTTTTCAGTTAATATTAATAACTTCCGATCTGCACCAGTAAAGTTAACATGTGGAATTCCTCAAGGCTCCACACTAGCTCCAATATTGTTCTCTTTGTACATGCTTCCGCTGAGTACTATCTTTAGAAAATATGATTTGAAATTTCACTGCTATGCAGATGACACTCAAATGTATTTTCCTCTTAACCGCGGAATGACTTTAGAAAAGGTGGCCAATTGCCTTGGGGATGTGAAAGCATGGATGTCGCAAAATTTTTTAAGTTTGAATGAGGGCAAGACTGAGGTTATAGTGTTTACACCTTCCAGTGTATATGATACAACAAACATAAATCTGGGTATCCTGACTCCATATGTTAAGCCTTTTGTTAAAAACCTGGGAGTGGTACTGGACAGTGGCTTAAAGCTGGATAGACAGGTCAATCAAGTGGTGAAATCAAGCTTTTACCAGCTTCGAACCCTGGCAAAAATTAAGTCTATTCTCTCAGTCTTGATCCTAGAAAAAGTTATACATGCTTTCATCTCTACCAGGCTGGACTATTGTAACTCAATTTTTATGGGGATCAGGGAGTCATCCATCAACCGCCTCCAAATAGTCCAGAATGCCGCTGCAAGAGTCCTGACAGGAACTCGGAAACGAGAACACATAACTCCTGTCCTCAAGTCTTTGCACTGGTTACCAGTGCGCCATAGAATTACTTTTAAAGTTTTATTATTAGTATATAAGTCGTTAAACGGGATGGCTCCATCGTACCTCACGGACTTATTGACTGTCCATCAACCACCTAGAGCTCTTAGGTCTGCGAACCTAGGCCTTCTGGTGGCTCCGAGAACTAAACTTAAGACTAGAGGAGACAGGGCTTTCTCTAGTGCTGCTCCTAGACTCTGGAACAGCCTCTCTCCAGAAATCAGAGCTGCACCAACCCTGCTTATCTTTAAAGTGAGATTAAAGACATTTTTATTTGACCTGTCGTATGCAAACTAAAGGTTGAAGCAATTGCCCTGTGGTTGTTTTTATTTTAATTTACTATTTTCTGTGTACCAGTAAACGGAAGTCAACGGAAGTTGTGTTTATGTGTGCTTTATAAATAAATTGAAATTGAAATTGAAATTGAAATTGAAAAAATCTTTGGGATGTGGTGGAACGGGAGCTTCGTGCCCTGGATGTGCATCCCACAAATCTCCATCAACTGCAAGATGCTATCCTATCAATATGGCCAACATTTCTAAAGAATGCTTTCAGCACCTTGTTGAATCAATGCCACGTAGAATTAAGGCAGTTCTGAAGGTGAAAGGGGGTCAAACACAGTATTAGTGTGGTGTTCCTAATAATCCTTTAGGTGAGTGTATATGCTGGGTCCAATTATTGGTAGAAGTTTTTAGTATCTCATACATCTATTTTGTAACTATTTTAAGTGTAACCATAATCATATTTTGTCTTTCAATTATAAATAATGTGCCAACTAGTTTAATAATTCTTAAACTTAATAATTCTTAATTCTTAAAAAACGTAATAATTCATAGTTATTGTAACTGCGCTTATTTCCGTTGTTGGTATAAGTAGCAGTGGGTGGTAATAGACAAGAAATGTAAATTTTTCTACCATTGTGCTTTTCAACGTTTCTTTAGTCCAGGAGTGCCCAACCCTGCTCCTGCCGATCGACTGTCCTGCACAGTTTATCTCCAACCCTAATTAAACACACCTGCCTTTAATTTTCAAGTGAGCCTGAAGACCTTTATTGGTTGCTTCAGATGTGTTTGATTAGGGTTGGAGATGGTCGACAGGACAGTCGATCGGCAGGAGCAGGGTTGGGCACACCTGCTCTAGTCATTCGGGAGCAGTGTTGGTCAAGTTACTTGGAAATAGTAATTAGTTACTGATTACTTCTCCAAGAAAGTAATCCAGTTACTTTACTGATTACTTATTTTCAAAAGTAATTAGTTACTTTACTAGTTACTTTACTAAGTTACTTTTCAAAAACATGATGCACGACCTGAATACGCTATAAAGCAATAGACCTTTCAGCCTAATTCTATTCTTTCTGCATATTCCATAATCTAAAATTAAATCAAATGAAACACTCTCTTTTTTAAAACTTGTTTTATTAGTTTCAATGTTTTAACTTTATGCACTTGCATCAAGCAAAAATTAAATTAAATTAAATGCAACAGTCTCAGACTTTTGATGAACATTTAAACCTATTTTCTGCACATTCCACCATATTTGAATAAAATAAAGAAAGTCCTTCTTCTGTTAACTTATATTTCTGCATATTCCAGCATATAAAATAAATATATTTTTTATAAAATCCTTGTAAAATTTTGTAAAATCCTTCATTCGAATAGATGTAAATAAAATAATCTCTCCTGACTGTATTCCAAATTATTAACACTTACTGTTGCATGCTTAGTTAGTATGATAATCTGATGTTTAGTTAAAGTAATATGTTTGTTACATTTATAAGATAGAACGAACGCTTGTTTCTTTAAGGGTTGGTGAACGGAAGTGACGTAAAGGTTTGAATGTTTTTTGACACACTGTTCGGTGATGTGAACAAGAACAATAAAGAAGTCAAGTAAGCTCAAGTACGAGTCGTATTTACAGACATAACACTTATGTCTTTTAACAGTAAAGTGCAGAGAGGAGTAAAAATTAGTTTACCAAAACAGCCATGTCATGTCAGTTGGGGGTTCAGGGTTTTTTTCAGTAAGTTTCACATTCCTGTGCCGGCTTGCTAGGTGCTTGCTCAGATTTGAGGTGGAATTTTGTCATTCTCCAATGGGGGTCCTTTTTCTAGATCAGCATGGTCTCTGCACACGCAAGGTCTCTCACTCGCTCTCCCTCTCTGCGGGTGCGCGTGCGCTACACAGTCTCTGTCTCGCATGCACGCTCGCTCTAGATTCCGGGATATTTAAATAATTTGCGGTATAACTAGTCGATCACGAGTGGCTCAACAGGTAGATCTATAGATAAACTCATCTTTCAGGCATTTGACCGACCGGGTTGACACTTCAGCGTGAGAAATCGGGGGTGTGGCGTGTGAGACCAATCAAATGCGTGTCTCTCTCCCGCGCTCCATGTTGTCTCTTGTTCAACACTACACATTTCGGTGTTTACCACTGACGTCGCGGCGCTCATACGTCATTGTCACTCACGCACGACTCATGGGACGAGACAGTCTCACGAAACAAAATGACGGTTAACTAACGCAGTAACGCAGCCTGCTTACGGGGAAGTAACAGTAATCTAATTACTGTTTTTGCAATTGTAATCCCTTACTTTACTCGTTACTTGAAAAAAGTAATTGGATTACAGTAACACGTTACTTCTAAAGCGTTACTGCCCATCAGTGTTCGGGAGTCCTGCTGCCTGAACCCCTGTTAGAAATCCACCCTTACAGAGAGCCTTTGATAAATGAAACCTGTACTCACTGTCAGAATTGTTCATGCCAAAGGAAACATCCTTAACAAATCCTTGAATCTCCCCATCACTTTGAACGGTCTCATCGCTCTCATAGTAGATCTCGACCACAGCAGAAACAAAACTAGGAAGATGACAAATTTATTAAAATAACTTTTTATTGGAGTGTATGTGGACTAATTTGTACTTTTGCACTAGTAGTACAGGATCTGAACTGTTGCAACACCTACTTGTGTATTGCCTCCCAGATCTTCATGCCATCATCTCTATAATAGTACTTGGGCGCATCTTTCATTCCTCGAGCTTCTATGGTCTCAGGGAAGCACAGGGACTCGTAGGATAAAGTCTCCATGGCTCTTCTAATCACTTTAGCTATCCCATCTCCAGTGAGGCTACTAATCTGTGGATACCAAGAATTCAGTTAATACTGCCTCAATATGTTCAGCACTACTCTTTGCCTTTTTTAAATTTAGGAACTACTAAGGTCTGAGAAAGACTAAATCAAATATGAATAGAATCGCTTTGAATCCAAGCAATATGCTGTTTATGTGGGCATATATTAAATTAGGTGTAATACCTTGCTGATGACCCCGTTTTCACTGATGAGTTTTTCACGGGCCACTGCATTGATTGCAATTGTGAAACGAACATGAGGTTTCAGTAACTGTAAGAAGCATTTAAACATGTGCATTAAATCATAAAAACTGATTTAAAAGCATAACCTGAAACAGCTAAAGTGGTTTCCATGTCATTCCCTGGAGGTTTTTGGTTAACATTAAACCATGGATGAAAAGAAGTTAAGGACATCAGAACCAGCAACCCTTCATCAATAAATTGACATGTGAAACTACAATCTTCAGTTTAGCCCTGAATCTAAATATCATGACTGTGTATTGAGAGACATGTACCTTGTATACAGGGTGGACTGCAGGGAGCTGTCTGTGCATGGCAATTTCAAAAACCTCTGATATCATATGTGTCTTGAGAAGGTGCGTGACCAACTGGTGTACAATGAAGTCGGCAGATTTCACCCACATCTTGGCAAGCATCCAATCATATTCATTATCACTTGGGAGAAAGATTGGGCTCTTTTCCCCTGGGGTTTGACTGAGCTGATTCAGATATAATAAAGCCAAGCGGGACATTTTTACTTCATGAGTAGATTCACGGAAAAAGCACTTTTTGTACAATTTTTAATTTCTTTTAATTTGATACTGATTATATATGTGACAGATACCTGAATGGCAATTGGCACAATTTGGTCCAATCTGTTCTTGTACAGCAGGCAGAGGGGCGCATTCAGACAGACCTGATCGCTGGATGTTAGGACTCCCTCCAGTATGTCATAATCCACTATGTAGATTTTTCCTGCCTGTAAACATGTACACAGGTGCAAAGTTTAGAAGTAATAGTTCATGGGTTGAAATATCATTGATTTGAGTCATTTATGTAAGCTAAATTATGTGAAGGATGTCAGAATACACACAAGTAAGTCTTGAATTTGATAACTGACCGACTGTTTAAGTGATTTATGTCTTAATGTTTCTGACCTCTAATTCCTCTTGTAGTGTGACTCCTTTCTTCAGAAAGCCCTTCACCATCTCATGTTTGACTGGAAACTTGTCTGGAATTTCCTTGCACTTCCTGATCATGACAGGATTGCAGCCATTCAAAAACTGATAGCCGAACATGTAATCCTTATTCCAGTCTTGCATCACGTTCTCTGTCCAGATTTCAAGGGGGAAAATTGAGTCAACTGTCTTTACAGGGACCGTATGGAAAAAGTGCCTCTGCTTTGTTGGTTTCTCACAACAATTGATTTTGGATATATAGTATTTGTTTAAATGAAGAAACAAACCTAGTAGAGTGTTCTTGATATTAAAATCTTCCAATATATTTTCAAAATCAGCCATGTCTTTCCAGGAATGAATGAAACCTTTAAATTTGTCAAGAAATGATTCCCCAATCCTGAAAAAAAGAGTGCATACTGTAATTATAGACACGAACACTATGTGCACGAATTTCATTCTGGAGAACTCAAACTGGAAAATCTCAGTATCAAATCAATAAGGACTGTGGCCATGACAAACTTACGCTTTCAGGAAATTGAAATCAAACTCAAAAGTTTTTGCTGCATCGAACTGAACTTCTGGAAGAAGATGATCCATGCTCTTAGGGAAGCCTTCGCGCCACACCTTCCAGCTTCAACAAGAAAAATGACAACATTTACTTGTACGGTTACACTGTCATGTACACTAATGTTAAGTCTCACTTTCATGGACTTTTAGTTTGTTTATCGTCAGTCTCCTGGTGCTTTGTCTTAGTTTCCAAAAGTCTATCACATCATCAGTTAGGCTTTTAGTTTGTTATCTTGCTTATATATGCTCTGTGTTTTCAGTTCCCTTATGTCATTGTTTATGTTACATTGTTTTTGTTTTTGTTTTTTGCATTACCTGATTCTAAATTAGTTAAAAAACCTTGTTTTATTTAATTACATTTAAAGGTGAAGTGTTTTTATTTTTTTCTTGCAGCCCAATTTAATACAGACAATTACAAGTTATACTTTTGTCAGTTGCCTTGTGTTTTTCTTTTACAAAAATGCAATATATTGCAATCAATCATTAAAATATTGTATATTTTACCAGTTGGCTATTTTTGGGAATCCTCTAAAAAGTGTCAGCATTGCCAGAAAACCATTTTCTTGCTTTTCCAGAGTGATTAGTGACATGGCATTTACAGCTCAGTTAAAAAGGGGGAACATTTTCCAGAACCGAGAAAATATCCAAGTCAGCGTCCAGCTCAAGTATATAGAAGCATATGGGTAGCAATATTCAATTTGAAATGTAATATGCAAAATGACAATGCATTTCTGTATTTATATTTACATTTTCCATTAGCTACATTTGTGCAACGTTGGTGCAAAAAATATTACATTTGCCATTTCATACACTAGTTTTAATATATAAATTGAATACTAATTTTAACGCTTTATAAGTTTCAAAATTAAAATAAGAATGTATTATGATGATGGCGGCAATCTGGGCCAGATCTACACAGCAATGAGCATAGGAGCAGTGAACACACAGGGTAAGAAGTGGTTTGTCAACCTCCCACTGCAGAATGGGCCCCAGAGATGCCAGCTCGACTCTGGAGCAACCTGCAACGTGATGAGCATTAAGGACAAAATGAGACTATCACCCACGACGGCTCTTCAGCCTAGTCTCACCAGACTGAAACTTTACAACAGTGCTTGGATGAACTCAATGGGCCTGTTTAGTACTCAGTGCGTCATTAGAGGCAAGAGACACAAACTTGACTTTGAAATCGTGAAATCCGGCCAGATGCCACTGCTTTCGGGTTCCACAGGCGAGGATCTCGGTCTGATACGCTTCACTATTCCAGAGGAGCTGAATAGTGTAGAGCACATCAAGTTGAGCATGCTGTCTAAAGAGGGCTTAATCAGCACGTACCATGATGTCTTCAACGGCCCCATTGACTCCCTGCCTGGCGACCTTCACTTTGAGCTGGACAGCACTGTGGCCCCTGTGCAGTGCGCTCCCAGAAACGTACCAGTGGCCCTCAAAGCAGCAGTTAAAGCGCAATTGGACCAGTATGAAAGGGATGGGCACTTAGTCACAGTCACACAACCCACTGACTGGATAAGTAATCTGGTCATAGTAAAGAAGCCAGAGAAACTTAGGCTCTGCATTGACCCCAGACCCCTGAACCGAGCTCTCAAGCGGTCCCATTACCTTATGCCCACCTTAGATGATGTGCTGTACAAACTGCCAAAAGCACGTATCTTCACGCTGGTGGACGCGCGGGACGCGTTTCTACAGTGCCGCCTGGATGAGGAGAGCAGCCTGATGACTACATTTTGGACGCCGTGGGGCAGGAAACGCTGGCTGAAACTCCCTTTCGGCGTGTCGGTTGCGCCAGAGCTGTATCAGAGGAAGCAGCACGAGCTCCTGGTGGGCTTGAAAGGAATTGAGCCTATAGCTGACGACATCTTAATTGTGGGCTGTGGCGACACAGAGGAGGAAGCCATTCGAGACCATGATGCAAACCTCACCGCACTGATGGACAGATGCAGAGAAGTAAAATTGAGGCTGAGTCTGAAGAAACTGCAATTTCGAGTTAAGGAAGTCCGCTTTCAGGGCCAAGTCCTCTCGGCTGAGGGCCTCAAAGCTGACCCTGACAAGGTCAGAGCAGTTCTGGACATGCCCAACCCCACAGACACTAAAGGCGTGCAGCGTTTTGTGGGGTTTGTGAACTACCTGTCCAAGTTCATGCCGCAGTTATCAGAGATCTGCGAACCACTGAGGAGGCTGTTGGATAAAGATGTGCAGTGGCACTGGCTGCCAAAACATGACACGGCCATGAAGGATCTCAAGACGCTGATTACAGCTGTACCTGTTTTGAGATATTATGACATTAACAGGCCGGTCACCATACAGAGCGACTGCAGCCAGACAGGCCTGGGCTGCTGCTTGCTGCAGGAAAGACAGCCAGTTGCATTTGCATCCCGTGCATTGTCCCAAACAGAGCAAAATTATGCTCAAATAGAAAAAGAATGCCTGAGCATTGTGTTTGCCTGTCAGCGATTCCACTAATACCTGTATGGGAGAGGTGATGTTACAGCAGAGACAGATCACCGCCCGTTGGTGTCCATCTTCATTAAGCCCCTCCTCACGCTTCAGAACTACTGCCTCAAAGTGGTGTACAAGCCAGGCCCGGAAATGTACATCAGTGACACGCTCAGCAGAGCTGCTACCCCACCACAGAGCATAGACGCACAGTACAGGCGGGAAATGGTCTGCAGCCTGCAGCAGGAACAGTACGACACCGCAGCAATTCAGCAGACAGACTATCTGAACGTCACCAGCCAACGCCTCACACAAATCCGACAACACACAGAGAAGGATGAGTGCCTTCAGATGCTCCAGACTGTCGTGCTTGAAGGATGGCCAGACTGCAGAGAGGAGACGCCCATAGTGATTAGAGGGTACTGGGCCATCAGAGACGAAATCAGTGTGCAAGACGGCATACTCTTCAGAAGCCAGCGTGTTATCATTCCTAAAACTTTGCGACCGGAAATGCTGAGAAGGATCCACTACAGCCACATAGGGGGAGAGGCTTGCTATAGGCAAGCTCGTGACACTCTATTCTGGCCCAACATGCAGGGGGAAATCAAAGACTTTGTGCAACAATGCTCTGTGTGCAATGAGTATGCACATGAACAACAGAAGGAGACCATGATGTCACACCCACTACCCACACGTCCCTGGCAGATAGTGAGCATGGGCCTGTTCAACCATGCAGGAAAGGATTTCCTGCTCGTGGTGGACCATTACTCTGACTTCTGGGAGGTCGATCTGCTTCCTGACCTCTCAGCTGAAACTACAGTCCTGAGGTGCAAGGCTCAATTTGCACGCCATGGCATACCAGACCGGGTCATTTCTGACTGTGGATGTCAGTTTGCATGTGGAGTTTTCAGGACATTTGCAAAAGAGTGGTCCTTTGAACATATTACCTCATCGCCAAGACACCCAAAAGCCAATGGCAAAGCAGAATCGGCAGTAAAGATTGTAAAAAACCTGTGCAGAAGAGCCGCGTTTGCTGGCGAGGACCCATGGAAAGCCATTCTTCATTGGAGAAACACACCCACCGAAGGACTGCACTGCAGTCCCGCACAGCGGCTGATGTCGCGAAGACTGAGGACGCACCTCCCTGTGGCGAACCAGCTCCTGATGCTACGGGTCATCAATGAGATACCGGACAAACTGTGTCTGAAACGCCAGATGGCGAAACTGAGCTATGATAGATCAGCCAAAGATTTACCTGAGCTGAACATCGGCCAGCCCATCAGGATGAAACCACTCCCTGGGGACAGGACTGGCCGGTGGAAAAAAGGGGTGTGCCTGCAGCAGGCGGGCCCCAGGTCCTATGTTGTTAATGTGGAGGGGACAAAATACTGTCGCAACAGGGTCGATCTTAGACCTTCGGAGAGAGTCCCCTCCTTGTCATCATGGCATCTAGAACATTCCCCTGAGTGTCCCGGGGACGCACATGCCACAGAGGAGGGCTCTGCGAGCGAGGACAGCAGTGAAGAGACAGGCACCAGTCATGGGGGGTAACCCATTCATCACAAACCAGTTGCACGCCACTCCGAGCGGAGCAGGGCCAGGCATACTCCCGGAGTGGCAGGCTAATTAAGCCACGGGATAGATTGAACCTGTAAGTGGAGCAAACTGAACACTGGAAAACAAGAACACTGCTAATAGCTGTCATATCGGTAGTTGTGTTCCAACAGCTGTGTTAGGTAAATTAGGTTTTGTTCTGTTCATGGTAATAGCCTGTTAATAAGTTGGGGTGTTCTTTGCAGAGTTAACAGGTAGAGTTTAATGAAGTTCAGGTTTGTGGGCAATGCCATTAATGTTTGGATATCTTACTACAGGAAGGGAGATGTTACAGGGTATACTGTTGTACTGCTTAGGCAGCAGCTCCACCTTGTGGAAAACTGGGGTATGTTAACTTGTATCAGGAAGTCAGCAGTTTGGTGCTGCGTGGGTGAGTTCTGCAATATATATAAACACACGGATCTTAACCCACTGTATGTGTAGCATCCTTATTCACCTACTTGCAACAATAACGAGTCCAAACTAACGTGAGAGTGACACACACACACACACACACACACACACAGCTGCTACGG